TTCTCTGTCCTGTAAGGACTGCCATGGTAAGGCTTAACATCTCAAGGTCTCCCAGCACTTCATATGCCTTATCTTGCTGTAATACTTACAACATCCCTATAAGGTAAGTCAATATTATTTTTCTTTTCTATATTGCAGACAAAGGAAGGCTGAAACTTTGCAAGTTTGTTGTTCATATGAAATTTGAACTAGGGAATCTCTGATCCATAGGCCATAGATGGCTGCTGATGAGGACAGGGAGGGGCATCGCCCTGAAATTTTAGAGAGAGATGACCCTTTTTTCTGTCCCACAAGGTGCCTGTGCTTGTTCAGTTCTTTCACCCACTAATTGATGCTTGGCTTAGCATGTGAAACATTTGTTTAAATAGTATTTCGTTACTTGTTACTCATTTTTTTTTTAAAAAAATGTCTCAGTGGCAGTACTTCTTATTTAGTATTTGTAGAGTGTTGCATTACTACTACGTTCCCTTCCAGTAACTTCAAATAGGGGGGAAAAAAACATATCCTCCAAAATGACCTCCAATGAAGCAATAGGTGTACAGAAAGAAGTGACCATGTTACAAGTTATTACACTGTGCTTTAAAAAAATAATTTTGTTAGGTCCTCATAAAAAGGTGTGGGAGAGAGGTTCCAGCAACGTCTTGGATCGCCCACCATTTTCTGCTCTCTTGGTTATTCCTGCAACTAGGCCTTTGCCCCCACTAGCTCTTCCTTGGAAAAACAAGTTTGTAATCGTTTTGTGAATTTGTATTTAATCCTGCCGTTGGGAGACATGTGGGATTAAAATAAAATAGTACTGGAAAAAAGTCAGTTATCACTCTTCATAGTATTTGCTTTATGTATTATTTCAGTTTTCAAAGAGGTAGCTATGTTAACCTGTTCCAGCATGTGTAAGAGAAAAAACAAACGGCTTGTGGCAACGGTGAGGATCATGCATATATTTCAGTGTGGGTTTTTTTGTGAATTATAATCCATTTCTTGTTCACCACAGCTCATGATTTTACATACAGCAGTCTTGCTCAGAAAAGTAACATGCTCGTGAGTCGGAGGGAGATAGCATTACGGAGGAGAATTAGACTGAAAAACTGAGGTACTTCACTGTCACCTGACAGGAGTGGTTCCCAACCTTGGGGCCTCCAGATGTCCTTGGTCTAAAACTCCCAGAAGCCTTCACCACTCACTGTGTTGGCCAGGATTCCTGGGAGCTGTAGTCCAAGAGCATCTGGGGACCCAAGGTTAGGAAGCACTGCCCTAGAGTATTCGAGAAGCTTCTGTGTTAGGAGTTGCTCATTGGTCTCTGTCACCAGGCACAGCTATACCTTTAACAGGGATCTGTTGTGCCATTTCACTTAGCACTTCTGTCCAGATTGTGTTACAATTAAAGGCACAAGAGCAGGCTGCATTCTAGTCAGTTGACAACCCACTTCTTCATTGCACCAGGAGTGGGCCATACTACGAGACAACAGCAATAAACAGTATTTATTTTGAAGGAAGGAAAAACTGCTGGATGTTTTCTTGTAGCTCTAGGGGAAGTACTCAACTAGCTTAAAGCAGTTTGAATCTGAGGCCTTTTGTGTATCCTGAAGCAGATTTCTGTACTCATGGCCCTCCTGCTTGCTGAGGTTTCCTGCATGCCTTCTCTTACTACCTCCTGTTTGTTGCATAAAGCTGCTTTCTCTCAGGCCAGAAACAGACATTCAAAATAGCTCACGACTGGAAGAAGGAAACACTTAACTATTGTGAATGCCTCAGTGTCAAGTAGGAGATTCCTGTGAAGTCTGATTTCGCAAAGTTGGAAAAATTACCTTAGGGTGTAATCTGGTGGCTTCAAAGGTTTGCACTGGAAAGAGTTCCTTTAACCGGAGCATTCTCCCTTCAGGCAGTCCTTCTGTCTGCTGTGAAATCGTTCCAGTCCAGCTCCCGAAAGTGGAAGCTGTACAGCTGGATGAAAAAGGTCCAGTTTGGGCATGGGTTGGGATCAGGCTGCAGCGTATTTCCCTCTGCATCATGCGATTGCCAGTGTCATTCCAGCCTCAGTCACCTCTGTGACATCATGTTTTTTTGGCCCCAGTTTCTGTCCTGCTTGGCTTGGCCTCTTCCTCCATCTCTCCTTAAGTATAGATTTCCTTCACACAGCAAAGTGGAAAATGGCATTGAAGGAAAAAACATTGGCCTACTTGTGATCTCCTCAGAGTTCAGTATGAGAAGGAAGCACGCTGGCTGGCTCCCTCCCATATGGTAGGGGAGGCCACAGCTAGCCGGCTTTGTGGCTCCTTCTCTGCATGAGCCCCGGCAGAGAAACAAACTGGTGGCCCCAGTTTTCCTTCCCAGGCCTTGTCTCTCTATCACCCCCATGCTCCCTCCCCTCACTTTCCTTCTTATCACGGACCCAGGAGAACAGCCAAAATCAGCAACTTTAACTACCCACTGTAAGAGTGTTTCCTGTAGGGAAGGAAGGATTAATCTGTGCTGTGGCTCTAAAATGTGCTCTAAAGGGCTGCTGTTGGCTGTTGAGTCTGGAATAAAAAAAGACACCCCCTCTGCCCTTTAAACACAAGTAAATGTACAATAGGCACACACACACACACACACCAGCCATTTATCTTGGGGCTTTCTTCCATGGTGTAATCTGAATTCAGACTGTACAAAATCCTGGGAAAGTTATTAAAACATTTGTTTTGGTTAGTGTCCACTGTGGAGTGGAAGAACCGTTTTGCAGCAACTTTACTGCCCCTCTCTTTTAGCTCAACCGATTTTCACTGCCCTCTTCCTGCCTTTGCCCATGTCCATTTTAACCAGTCACTTGTGTTTTGAGTGTGTGAGGGTGTCAGTGTGGTGCAGGGTGGGGTGGGGAAAAGGAGCCTCAGCTGCTTTATGAATAGGCTGCCAGTCTTCTTCTCTTTCCCCTTCTCTCGTGGTGATGCAGTAGTTAACTTCTGGAATATTCCAGACAGCATGACCAGTATGTTTTTTTTTCCATTTCTGCTTTAAATTCAGTTTTCCCACATCATGTGTTATTCTAGAGTGCAAAGACCGGGGGAGCCTTTGATTCTTCAAATGTTTTTGAACAGACTCCCACCAGCCCCAGTTGTATGTGTTTTTTTTTTGGGGGGGCGGGGTAGTAATAGACATTTTAGTCCATCCACATTTAGAGGGCCAGAATTCTCTTGCCTTTGGTCTCATGGGGAAGCCCCCACTTCTGACAACTGTTGGGGTCCAAATTACTTCAGCCTCTGCTGGTCTGGCCAGTTATGAGGATCATTATCTCTCGTAACAGGGATAATTGGAATTGCAGCCCAGCTACAAATGAATGGCCACAAGTTTCCAACCTCTGCTATAGTCTGAGCAAGATAACACGAGTCAGGATGGGAGTATTTAGGTGAAGGAGCAGGGCCATGCAGATGGGACCAGGTTTATTTATCAGTGGCTGGGTCACCAGGGAGAGGCAGAGGTGCCCATTCCATTTTCTCCCCCTCTGGCAATTAAAAAAATATAATCCTCCATCCTAACACTGGAATGATGATGATGTTCCTTCCTTCAAGTTGTTTGCAGGGTTTTTTTTAGGTGCAGAGTACTGAGAAGTGGGTTACCAGTCCCTACGTTGAATGACACACTATGACTGTGCAGCTTGGCTGGCTCTTCCCTTGGGAATCAGGGAAGAACCACATGACCAGTCCTGGGCTCTGCAGCCGGGTGCTGCACCTCACTGAGCTGTCTAAAACCTCAGAAAAATAAGTCAGTCACCAGTCAAGAGAACATTGGACCCAGAGGAGCCTCCCTAGAGAAGGAGCTCTACAAGGGACCTTAATAGTTAATTCTGTTTTTACTAACAGATTAAGGGGGCAGCCTCACAGGGAGGTTATCCCAGATTTATTCAGGTAGGTTGGATATATTCTGTAACACGCCCTGGATCCCACAAAGGGGTGTGTGCACGACCTCGCTCCACGTTCAAGCCCTCCATCTGCACCCACAACCCTCATCAGAATGAGAGCAGGGCCTTTCGCTAGCATTAAATAAAAGCTGTTTCCTGGGTTCTCTCCCAGCACACCAAGAGCAGAGCCTAGGGTGATATACACGTAAGAATGGTTGGATTTGCAGTGGCTCATATCCGATTTTATGAGGTGGAGGAAATGGTCTGCAGTTTGGGATGCAAGCTCAGAGGGGACAAAATCTGCCCCTCAACCGAAACTGGGGTCATCATGCCAAAGGGAGAAGAGACAACCCATCTATTAATCAGTGCATCGTGCCAGGAAGCTGCATGCAACCTGATGCCCCTGTTTGGCAGTCCTCATCACTCCCATCCCACCCTGCCACAGATCGCAAAGTGCTCGTTGCTGCTACTGCTGAATTTGTGGCAACTTCCTCCATTCTCCTCCCTCCCACACCTCTTGTTGCTGTTGTTGTTGTTTTTGGTCCTCCAGTTCTTTACCATGACTGCATACCTCACAGTTTCTCTTGTCTGAGGTGGCTTCCTTGGTCTGCCTAATGGTAGAACCAGACATAAGCATTGGGTACCTTTTAGGAGGTCCTTTAGCAAGCCGCTGCATGGTCACTTTGAGCCAAACAGAGTGGCCACTGCCCTGTGTGAACTGAGGACCCAAAATCCTTTGCAGTGCTTGTGTGTGTGTGTGTGTGAGAGAGAGGGGGGGTAGTGGTACAGGGGTTCCTTTGCAGGCCAGTTCATATGGAAGAGGTAGGCCAGTTCTGGGAGGTAAGTTTGAAAGCCTGATCACTGGAGGCCAACTTTATGTCTGCAGTTTTCATTCATGTCTCATTGTGGTTATGCTAGCCAGGGGTAATGGGAGTCATAGTTCAGCAATATCCGGGAGTCCACAATTGCCCACCTTCATGTTAACCAAGCTTTCTTGAGTCTGATTGGAATATTTCTTGAAACTTCGTGAAGTGTTAGGGTATATCAAGGGTCTTTTTCAAAAAGCCAGTGATAAACAGACAGCCCTCCAGTCGAGCAACCGTGGTCCAGTGAAGGTGGCTGCCCTTACCTGTTGTGAAGTGATTCACGCTTCCACCTGGATGAAACCAAATCACACAACTCGAGATGTGGCTGCATGAATGAAGTGTGCAGGACAAAGAGCCACACGACTCTTTGAAGCAGATCTAGAAATATGTAATGAGAATTGCTCAACCCTAACGTTCTGCAAAATGTTCTCTGTAAACAACCCACCAGAAATGGGCTATTTTTAAGGATGAACTCTGGACGATCTTGAACTAGAGCGACCGACCTCTAGAAGTCTCATCCCTCCCTTCCTGTTCTCATCACGGCAATGGCTTTCAGATTGGTTGATCAGTTCTGAATCTTTTTTCTTACTCAGTTTTTCCATCTTTACAGCTATATTCTGGCTGTGAACGGGAACACTCCCTCCACCCAGCCTGCTACCACACACCCTTTTCTTTGTGCAATGACAATAAACAGATGAACCCTGGGTATCTGTTCCTTCTGTCCTTAAGAGCCATCTGCTGTTTGCCTGGCAGTCAGCTAATTTTGGTAATCTGATTTCTGTTTTTATCTGGACAATGTCCGTATTACATGGATGCTTGGTGGAATAAATTTTGTGATCTTGGAAACAGCCTCCAAAGCAAGCGAGTCATTATAAAATAGGATTCGGAAAGAAAGGGGTGGTCCTCTAGACCAGTGTTTCTCAACCTTTGTCTCTTTACACCGGTAGTTCCCAACCTTGGGTCCCCAGATGTTCTTGGACTAAAACTCCCGGAAGCTTTCACCACTAGTTGTGCTGGTCAGGATTTCTGGGAATTGCAGTCCAAGAACATCTGGGGACCCAAGGTCAGGAAGAACTGCTTTAGATGTTATGAATTTCAGCTCCCAGATGTCCCCAGCCAACATGATTGGTCACACATGTTGGGACTCCAAAATATTTAGAGGGCCAAAATTGAGAGCCGCTGCTCTAGAGGTAAATACAGTATAGGAAGAGCAGCTGCTTCTCTTGACCTGAACCTTACATTGAGTGTCACATCAAAAAAATTAGTTCAGCCATTGTGTTAAATCATACTTTGCACTAATGATGGTTTGGAATACAGGGTACGGTTTCAGCCTCCCAAATATGGGCAAACTGTTGGATGTATCAGCTTGTTTGCTATCATTTTCTTCAGGCCCAGGACTCCGGTCTCCACATAACAAATGCTCTGAACAATAGTTTGCCAGATCAGATGTCAGGCTGAATCAAAGCCAGGACAAACCATGAAAATTGGGACCAGCAGGGTAGCAATCAGGGCAAAAGTTTAGTAGCCTCCCATGTAGCATTGTCAGAAAGAACATCCTCAAATGTGGTGAAGCTGGTTTACTACATGTTTAAATAGCTGAAATAATACACCTTGTCCTCTGAAACACGAGTGGGGGCTTTGTAAAACCGTTGAATTCAGAATATGTGGCTACCTAGCTGTCTCGTTGGTTGCGGCTTTTGATTATGGTTGATTAATCTGGTATTCTGACATCATCCCTTTCAAATCATAGTTAAGCTTCCTTACCTGTGGCTTGTTGTCTGAACAGAGCAGCTGTGGGCTCTCAGTGTTCATTAATTAATGTGAAGTCCTCTTCCCTCTTCCCAGCCCTTGCTCTGTCTGTTAGTTTTTCCATTTGTTGACATTTAGATGTTTAGTTTCAGTTGCTGAGTAAATAATTGAGTAGGTGGGTCCAAACTTGTGCCCCAGTAGTTGCCAGCGATGTTTGCCTATAAACCTGATCCTTGTCTTACATGCTTGTTTGCAGTTTATGCTTTAAATAAATGTTGGGGGGGGGGAAAACAAGTCTGCAAAAGACAAAGAAATCGAGGGCAGTGATGTGACAAAGATGTTACATCCTGTGGTTATTGTTTGGTCTCCATCATTGTTATTATTTAGGGGGCAGGCCCCTTTGAGTGGCCTGGAGGAAGAGGACAATGGGCAAGAATACTAGATTGGGCTCAGGTACTATCCTTTAGATTAGTGGTTCGCAACCTTGGCCCCTCAAATATTCTTGGACTATAACTCCTAGAAATCCTGGCCAGCACAACTACTAGTGGTGAAGACTTTTGGGAATTTTAGTTGAAGAACATTTATGTATTTATTTATTTTATTAGATTTATACCCCGCCCATCTAGACAGATAGTCTGCTCTACATCTAGGGACTCAAGTTTGGGAAGCAGTGCTTTAGATGGTGTTCTCTTTTTGAAGGGGTTTATCCAATCCAAATCTGATTTAAAGATTAAAAAAACCAGAAGGAAGAGATGAGGGACCTTGGAAGTTGTCTATCCATCATGAGCAGCAGCTGGATAGCAAGCTCAGCAACAGGCATAGAAGCCCACTTGGACACTGACTTACCACTTCAGTGAGTTACACTGTATCTCTGTCTAAATTGAAAAATAATAATTTATAATTTTCCATCTGTTCAAATAAATTAGCATGTATAGCTTTATAAAAATCACTTCTCTTTTTTTTCCTTCTCTTTCTTTCTTTCTCTCTCTTTCTATCTCTGTTGTTGTGAATATGTTACTGACCATCCTAGCTTGGGTTCTGCTGAATGGAAGGCTGACAGACCATAAGGGACAAGAGAGTAGACCAAGACAGAGAATCAGAATGGACTGTTTTAGAAGAGGGTATGGCTGGCTGGTAGGAACCACAAAGAGGACATCTCAACACTGAAAAAGGTGTTCTATCTCCAACATGTTCTCTCCTAATGCCAGTCCTAAAACTGCTGCCCTCTCATCCTTTCCACACTTACAAGAAGCAACAGGTTTCATGTGGCACCTGAGAGTGCAGAATTGTCTTTGTACATCCATCTGTATCAGAATCCCCCCAAATATGGCAATACTGTCAGGGTAATGTCACTGCTGTCCTTAAGCTCCTGCTGCCTGGCATAGTCAATCCACTTGGCTGGGTCAGGGAACTCAGAAGGAATAACTGTAGTCATGTTGTCTAGGATCTGCCACTTGAGAAGGCTGTCTTTCCTTGCTTAATGAGAAGAGTAGCTCTGGTGGCTGCCTTGCAAGAAACCATGGAGGATCCCATCTTGAAGAGTATCTTGCAGTAGCCTGAGCAATGGCAGCCTAATGGAGGTGTAAGCACTGGCGGTGGTACCAGGCTGGTCTAGAATTCCATCTTGGTGCCTCTGTAAGGCAAACGACAGATGAGGGTGGGGGGAAGCCCTGCCCTTTTTCAAGGCAGCTATACAGTTCCATCCTTTGTGTGTTATGGATTGGGTGGGTGGTTAATCCTTTAAAGCGCAAGCTCATCTCTACTTGGCACCTGATCTGGTGCTAACTTAACCCTTTCACACAGATGCAAGTGACGTCTCTATTATCTCACCTCTTCACCCCACATGCTGGAAACAGACTCGGTCGAAGGGATTTCCACTGTTCTGACAGCAGACCAATAAGTGTGGTTCCACACACATATGTACATACACACTGCCACCATTGAAGTGCTCTTGCACATTGCTTCAAAGGTGCAGGAGCCTGTCTGGGTCAGGATCTGGCATTTCTCAAAGCACTGCAAGCTAGGAATTCGATCCCAAATCTTTGACCTACATTTCTTGACTTTGCTTGGCTTATATGGAGAGGACCTTTAAGTCATTAAGGTACTGGACAGGGACTTGGGAGATCCAGGTTCAAGTTCCCACAGAGCCACAATCCTTACTGGGTCACCTTATGCTAGTCATGCTCTTTCTTAGTGTTCCTACCTCACAGGGTTGTTGTGAGGAAGAAAGAGAGAGGAGGAGTGCCACATGTTTGAGCTCATTGGGGAGAAGATGTGATAAAAATGGAACTAAAATGAATAAATACATTGCAGTCAATGAGGAGCAATTTGTGCTATTCATTTCAGCTACTGGGCTGTTGCATTGGTCCCAGCAAGGCAAATGTCCAGGGCCCCTGGGCCCTTGCTTTCTATCCAGTCACTCTCCTCTCAGTCTGACCTTGGTGGAAAGCTTGCAGGGGAAGACAGGGACTGTTACTGTCTGCCACTCTCATCCTGGGCCATCCGGACACATCCTGTGCTGCAGCATTTGGCAGACCTCCTGGCAAAGTAGCTAGAATGAATAGCTTCAGCTCCTTCCTCAGGATCCTCTCAGCCCCACGAACAGCTGCACTCTCCACTGTGGGATGCTGCTGCTTCCTCCTTGCAGTCAGCAATGATTTGTCAAGTGCATGCTCAGGGATGGCGTCACCATTTGCAAGGGGAATTAATAGCAGCCTCCCTTTTGGCTCAGATGATGGTGGGAGGACAGGAAGGATATGTTATGTAGAGTGCTTGAATGCAGGATGCATGCCTGCTGAACATGGTCGGCCGTCTCTGGTGATGGGCAAATAACCACTACACATGTTTGGGGTTATGGCCTCTTACTATGAATAACTGTGTGCTGTTAAGTCGATTCTGATTTATGGCTACCCTTTTCAGAGGTTTCCATATTCAGAATGAATTTGCTGTTCCCTTCTTTTGCGGGCAATGTTTCTTCTAAGGTGCACATAGACACGCAGAGGTCCATTGGTGCTGTACAACAGCTGGTGCTGATGCCTTTTTACTTCTGAGTTCTGGATGAAACCCCACCCCTATGAGCTGATGGGTGAGTCTCGTGCGCAGCAGAGATTACAGTTAGAGGAACATTGTCTGCAGGCATTCTGAGGCAGTTTAGATTACCCAGGGCTATCCAGTCTGGCTCTTCCCCTGGGACACATAGGGTGGAATTGAACTCCTAACCTCTGGTCTGCTGCCAGGTACCCAACTCACTGAGCTATCCAATGGGCTCAAGCTACAGGTAGCCAGATTTCAGCTGAATGTCAGGAAAAACTTCTTAACTGTTAGAGCAGCATGACAATGGAACCAGTTACTTCAAGAGGTGTTGGATGATCCAGCACTGGAGGCATTCAAGAGAAAATTGGATCATCATCTGTCAGATCTGCTATGATTTGCATTCCTCCACTGAGCAGGAGGTTGGACTCAATGGCCTTATTGGTCCTGTCCAACTCCATTATTCTATGATCCAGCCAGCTCTCCAGCTACTGCTACTTCTACTGCCATATGTATCACACTTCTCAAATTTCCAACATGGTGCTTGGAAATATTATCTTCAGTGGTGGATCCTGGAAACAGAAGCCCCCCCCAAAGGAATATCTCCAAACTGCATCTCCTTATGCAGAAAGCATGAATTAAACATGGAGAATCGTTATGCATCTCTTATGCTCCACGATAATATGTTCAGGATTTGGCAAATAGGTAGCTATGCCCTTTCATAATAACACATCAGGTCTGGCACTCATATTCTCCACCAGGAACAATTCTTTTGCAAAACTGGTGTGTCCTAACTGCATTCATGACTAATTAATTATGAACTGTCCAGTTGGAACTGGCTTATGATGACCCTAATAGGGCTTTTAAGGTAAGCGAGATATTAAAAGAGTGATTTTGCCCCTTCCACTCCTGAAATGAGTTTTCATAGCTGAGGAAGGATTTTAACCCTGGTCTCCAGAGTTTTAGTCTGTCATTCAGTCCACTACACCACACTAGATATTCATGACCAAGCCACCGCAAAATGCTAATTATCCAACCAGGACTGAATCAAACTGGTGTCAAGTATTTAACAGAATCCTATACTGTAGTGTTCCAAACGAACTATGATAAAACTAGGGACATAATAAATACAGTATTTACCAACACAAATGCCAAGACTGGCCCAAGACATGAAGGTAGGGATAATGGGTTTCCATTCCATATGCTGGAACATTGGATTAGCACTGGTTAAATCTTATTTCAATATTAGTGACAGGGGAGCAACAGGCTAGCCTAGGGAGAAGGGGGCAGCCCATGAAACACACACATACAAAACTCTGGCCTCCAGCAGAGGGAAATGGTTAATGGGATGAAAAATAAACTGCCAGCGTGATGTTACTGCTGCCCCCCAGCATCTGTTGCCTTGGTTAGCTGACCTGGTTGGGCTCATGATGGGACCAGCTCTGGTGTACGCACAAGGGTCTTTGTCACTGTGATTATTAGAAAGCACAAAGCAGTGCAAAGTGGGAAACAGATCCCAAATTGCTGGCCCAGTTTTCTGGGTTTTGCTTGGGTTATAGGGAGAGGAACTTTAAGCATTTTCTGCCAGGTTTTCACATTGGGTTCTTAATGAGTAAGATTCTAAATGAGAACCGGTACCTACAAAAGGGAGCTATGCTGAACAACCTTATGCCTGTTGAAGGCTTAAAGGGCAGCTATACAATTAGGAGGATTAGAAGGTGATAAAATGCTCCTCTCCCAGAAATCAATCTCTAAACTATTTGCACAATCAGCATGAAAATGGAACCGCTGTTGTTTTTCTCCCAGTGATCAAGGACCTAACAAAAGTCAAGCTAATTTGCAGCTTGCAAAGCTGAGGAAAAAATGTTAGAAGATAATCACACCTCCTTTACTGGTGAAGTCAATTCTGCTTTAATTGCAAAGCTGATCCATCCCAGGTAAATAGGCACAGGGTTTCAGCCTTCAAGGTCTGTAACATGCTCAGCCCATCTATATAAAACTTAGCTTAAAAATTTATCCAGCATCTGAGATATATAAATATATCTCAAATGCAAACATGCACC